TGGCTGCCAGGTCTCCTTTACTGCTGATTAAGGCAGACCGTGACAACGATGTAGCTCATCCCCACCAGCGTGTGAATGTGTGTGTGAATGGGTGAATGACTGATTGTGTTGTAAAGCACCTTGGGGGGGTCCAGGACTCTAGAAGGTACTGTATCAAATACAGGCCATTTACCATTTTCTTACAGCTACACAGCTGTTCAATCCCAAGTACCCCTCGTGTTCCCTTCACATTTTGTGTGTGTGTGTGTGTGTGTGTGTGTGTGTGTGTGTGTGTGTGTGTGTGTGTGTGTGTGTGTGTGTGTGTGTGTGTGTGTGTGTGTGTGTGTGTGTGTGTGTGTGTGAAAATGCTCTTAATTTCCCTATTAAACATTGCCCTGAGATCTACTGTTGTTTTTCTTCGATTTGACTTCCAACAATTAGTGATCACTGATCACCATCATTCAGGATTTTTTTTTTTTGGCCACATTTCTTCCTCGAAGACGATGGGTCCCCACTATCCGTCCAGATTTTAATAAAGCGTTGGACAGTTCTTAACCCAAATTTAGTTGTTTCTGCAATCTCCTTAGATGTCTTCTCTGCTTGACGTACTCCAGTGAACTGATCCTTCTCAAACAGACCAACATCTTTTCCACAACCACCAGATGTGTCTTTCCACATGGTTGTTTTAAACAGCAGAAGCAACTCATTGCCCCAGTTGGGGTTAAACAACTTGTTACCAGCTGAAAGATGATCACCCATGCAGTAATTATCCAATAGGAGGCTCGTGCTCGTATTTGCTTAGTTAAATCCAGGTAGCAACTTTTTTTTGGGCCAGGCAGTGTCTCATAAGTCCCCTTAAAGACAACCGAAGGGCTAATGACACTCTTTAATTGTTTAGTACCCTTCACTCTAGGAATAAATTCATGCAGAAAGCACAAAGACCAGCTCGTGATCTGATTCATGCAACATAATTGATAAAACAATGATTGAGGATATCTGGGCATGTGTGCATTCAAGCACCAGTAGGTCACACTTTTTAATGATGTGAAGAGAAAAGAAGCCAGATAAACTGTGAGTCACACAGAGATAAATGTCTGCTGCATTTCAGCCAGATGCACAAAAGTGGTGAAGACCCGATTCCAGATGGACAGTGAGGAAAAATGATTGTGTGGAAAGAGCTCGGTAGAAGAGGAATCTTTGCTAATGTTTACCCGATATCAACCCAGTTACAGCAGATTTAGTTGCTACGGGGACAAAACTGGGACAGAGCTGAGCACAGCTGCTGCAGAGCTTTGGTGGAGCCATTCATCTGGTTCACATCCACAATTTTCACACTTTGAGAAATCATTACTTCAAGCAGGATTCTTGACAAAAATATAATTGCATTCATGGGAATGTTCAGTTGTTCAACAGCATTTGGGCTCCTGACAGAGAGATTTCTGCATATCAAAGCTCAAGGCATTTATTCCTTGTGAATGTGTGACATCATCAAATCCAAGCTAAGTCTCTGCACTTTAAGCACAATTTTACAATATAATTGCAGCATTTTCAGACTTGCAGCAACTGCATCCCACAAATATCATTCACAGATTAAAAAAACAGCAATCAGAAAAACATGCACAGGCATGAAACCCAAAATGTATTTATAAAAAGGGAATCTGCAGCTTCACAAGTGAAATGTGTCTCAAACACGACCCGCAAACTCCATTTCACACATTATCATGCCTACTCGCACCCTTTCTGAGCATATATGTGCCTTTGTCACTCTCACTTACAATAGAGTTTAAATAATCCAGGTATATTCAGTGGCTCCAAAACATAAGAAACTGGGGTTGCAATTGTGGGAGAGAGTTTCAGCTAATCATCATTTGTCCAGATGGATTATGATCTTTGATGTTGGATTTGAGCAAAAATATTTCAAGGATGCTGCGCTGCGAGCTGCTGAGACCTCTTAGAGAGCTGCTCTGCTTTAGGCTCAGCAGCGTGCACGAGCATGAGCGTAAAGCTTCCTTCATTCGCCTTTAATCTCAAGAACTTTATTCTTGAAAGTGTCCAATTTGAAGGTAAAGCAGTGCAGGGATAGATGGGATTAAGTGATAATTGGTGACCTTTTTTGGAAAGCAAAGATGTGTTTTCCTGACATTATCTTTGATTTATAAAGCAAAATTAGAAATAAAAACAAGAGATTTTCCAGAAGAAATTCTCAGGAGCTCCTATGGCGAGATGGAGCAGCACTGTGACGATGGAGATCATGTGGTTGTGAGATAACCTGAGAGCCATAATCACCACAATCACGCCTACATTAATCAACATACACATTTGCGCTTAGTGGTGCTGTTACCATAACAACCACATCATTGCAATGTAGTTAGAGGTGCGAACACCCTGGTTTTATGAACCACTCCTAGCCCTGGAGCTGACACTCTGTAAAGAAAGGAACAGCCTGTGGCCCTTTGTTTCATATGGAACACAAATTTGCGAAGGCCTTTTAAAAATATGTCTTGAGTTTATCGAGCAAGTCAGTTTTAAAATTTTGACGATAACTGAAAGGTGTGGAACACTGAAAATCCATTTTTAATGATTATAATCAGTCACTCTGAGTTTTTCATGCAGGCTGAACATGAAAATAGTCTCCTACACCTATCTCCTGCTTTAGCCTCTGATAATAGACAATGAAACTAGTAAAAGCTAACTGTTAGCATTAGCAACTCCACCACACAGCAGAACTCCTCCAGGCTTGTGTTATTTGTGAAGATAAAACGTCATTGTTGTGAGTCAGTGATAGATTAACAATGCTATTATCCAATCCAAGGCGAGATGTCCACATATCAGGAAATAAGAGTGCAAAACCTTCCGCCTGAAGCTGCTTTCTCCTCCAGCTGATTTATATTTCCCTGATTCAGGTTTATCTGAGCATTTATTTCCTCCGAGTATGACTTTCAAGGCATTCATTCCTACTAGAGACCATTGCAAATGTAAAGATTAAGCAAGTGTTCAGCACCTTTAAGCTAATTTAGTTCAGTTTATTCATACAGTACAGCGCCAATTCATAACACTAGTCATCTTAATGCACTTTACAAAAAAAGTTCTAATTAATCTCTTGTTAAACAGTTCATTGAGGTCAGTTAATTATTCCAATTAGTTTTCCATTCAAGGAAACCCAGCAGATTGCATCGAGTCACTGACCTGCAGCATTCTTTTTGTTGTGTCAGTCCCATATCAAGCACGCCTGTAGCGACAGTGGAGAGAAAAAACTCCCCTTTAACAGGAAGAAACCTCCAGCAGAGCCTGAGTCAGTAGTAGCATCTAACTGTATAAAAGCATTAAAAATACCTCAACCAAATAACTTTTCATCAAGATTCCATTTATTATGACATTTTAAATTACTGATGCCTTGAGTGGTATTTGTCCATATTATACCAAATGTCATTTTTAAATTCAATTTGTCAAATATTCTCTTTCATGCCTTTTTTGGCCTTTTCCCCAAATGGGCATTGTGTTTTGTTTGCATTACTGAAAATTATTTAGAATAGAATAGAATAGAATAGAATAGAATAGAATAGAATAGAATAGAATAGAATAGAATAGAATAGAATAGAATACCCCTTTATTTTTCCTTTAGTAGGGAACATTTGGTGTTACAGCATGAATCATCAGGAGCAAAGAAGAATAAAAATAATGTAAGAATACACTGGAAAAAACTAGATGCGAGAAATAGGTTAAATATCATATTTAAAATACTTTAAATAAATAATGTAATACTTATAAAAAAACTTAGTCCTATGTATTTGTATCTGTGCCTATTACAATAATAAAATACTATTCCAAGCCTTCTGGTTCTGCTTGAGTTTTCCTTCCTACTGTCGCCCATCGCCCTGAGCTAGATCTTGGTGGATGATTTTACTGAAATTCTAATGTAATTAAGTAGATATTATAACTATCTGTTATCTGTTCTGCTATAAAAGTTACTTTTAGCTTCTTCATAAAACATTTAAATCAGTTCTAAATTGGTGCTATAAAAATTATTAAATTAAACGCGAAGCAGAAATTAGCTGAAAAGATTGACCAACTGTGATAGAACATACATTAAGATGTGAAAAATGACCCACACAGTGTTACACTCAAAATTAAGCTGCCCACCAATTAATCATCATATGTGGAGGCTGAAGCCTCTCAGTCACAGCACTGAATTAAATAAATATCGACATATAGAGGCTAAATTTACATTTTAAAAAATCCTCAGTGCTCTTTTCCTTCATCCTCCTCACCATGTGTGGGGTCAAACCAAACGACTTTCACCATGAGGAGGATCCAGTCACCTCTCTCTGCAGATGGTCTCATTTATGAGAGGCTGCTCTCTTGTGGCCACGGGGAGGAAAGGTTGACCCGCGGAGGGATGGAAGGATGGATTGGCAGGAAACCGAAAACAAGAGGCTGCTGTTGGGTTCATCCCACAGACATCAGGTACATTCATGCTTGAGAGGTGCATTTAAATGTCATTTTCATTACAGACAGACAGACAGACAGACAGACAGACAGACAGACAGACAGACAGACAGATAGACAGATAGATAGATAGATAGATAGATAGATAGATAGATAGATAGATAGATAGATAGATAGATAGATAGATAGATAGATAGATAGATAGATAGATAGATAGATAGATAGATAGATAGATAGATGGATAGATGATGGATGGATGGATGGATGGATGGATGGATGGATGGATGGATGGATGGATGGATGGATGGATGGATGGATGGATGGATAGATAGATAGATAGATAGATAGATAGATAGATAGATAGATAGATAGATAGATAGATAGATAGATAGATAGATAGATAGATAGATAGATAGATAGATAGATAGATAGATAGATAGATAGATAGATAGATAGAGATCCGATCTGTGCGCTCTGCAGTCCGGGTTTTCTCTCTCTCTGCTCCTCCTCTTCCTCCCCTCTATTCCCTCCTCTCTTGCTACTAGTGTACCTTCGCTTGTTCAGCCCTCAGTCTGAGGAGGAGGAGGAGGATGATAAATGATTGGCCAGGCGGGAGACTGGTAGTCCGGAGGTTCTTCCCCGTGTTCGTGTTTACACCTTGCTGCCCGGGACGAGGCGAGGCGCATGGGGTTCCAGAACCAACTCGGGAGTTGAGTCTTTGGGGGTTTCGTGATTTTTTTGTAGCGGCTAACCTGGCAGCTTCTCCCAGTGGCTTTGTTTGACTGCTTATGAGCAACTTTTTCATAGCAGGGAACTGGATTTTCTCCTCTTTTTTAAATGTGGGTTCTCGACTCAGCGCAGCGATGCGTCAAAGTTTTTGGTGACTCTGTGCACCTTGGCGCTTATGACTCAGTCAGGTAGAGCAGATCCGGGAACCAGGTAATCTTGGAACTCCATAGGTGGTTTGTTTCTTATAAAGTACCTCTAAAACGGAATTAAAGTCATTTCAGTCTCATCAATGACTCTCCTCTGGGTGATGGATGTGTTTTAAGCGTCGCTGTTTGCGCCAACGGACTAATCGCTGAACCAGCCAAGGTTTTTTTTGCGGCGGGTCTAAATTCTGAGTTTAATTGAAGCAGTGCCGATCGTGTCGGACGGGAGCCCCGTGGTGTGGAGCAGCGGAGACGGCGCGCGTACCCGGAAAAGATGCGCTCTTCTGAGATGCAGTGTGAGCAAGCGGTCGGTCCTCTGGTTCTCCTGCTCTTGGTTTGGGGATGCGTCGCGTCTGGCACCGGTAAGTTTCACGATTTTTGATCGGTGTTAGCTGTAAGATCATTAGAGAGCATCACGGGGCGCACAGCTGCGCGCTCGGAGATGCAGAGCGCAAATCAGATAAATGTTTGAATTATGTCAACCCCTCATTGGATGTTGTCTTTGAGGAGAGAAAAAGCCTGACCCTGAGGTCAGCTGCTGACCAGCTAATTTATTTTGAACTCACAGCCCAATCCTCAATCGTACTGTAAATCTGAGCTCAGAGTTCTCTTTTCTACTTGGAGCGGAAAAAATCAAACTCCCCGTGGTGCGCAGGGAGTAACTAAGGTTTTGCTTCATGCCTCCCTGGCCTTTCCCAAGACGCAGAGCCATGTGGATTCAAAGAACAGTTTACAAACTTTAAAGGGACATTCTTTCTTTACTTTCTAGAAAAGGCAGAAACATCCCCCAGAGTTATTTTATTTTTAAGAGTTGGTTTTGACATTTTAAACCTTTACACTCCTAATTTTATTAGATAAAGCTGTTTTCTATAGCCAAAAGCTACAGCAGCAGCTCCAACATGAAACAATGTTGGTTTAGTCAACCAAAACTTCAAAACTTTACTTTAATATTCATCTCTCTTTTTACGGAAAAGGTCAAATTATGTCACACCTTCCCTTTGTACCAGACTGAAGAACAAGAAAGAAGTCAGAAGGTTTAGTGGATTAGGCTTTGGTTTGCAGTTGGCCAAAAAAAACAGCACTGTGCAGAATCTTTGCTCAAAGTCCATCAAGAGTCCACTCTGGTTCTTTAATGAAGAACTCCATTTGTCTTCAGTAATCTGTAGCAGCCGACTGCCAAGAATGTTTCTTTGAGGGACTACAAGGGACCCTGCATTTACCTCCAGAGGTCGTGTGTGTGTGTGTGTGTGTGTGTGTGTGTGTGTGTGTGTGTGTGTGTGTGTGTGTGTGTGTGTGTGTGTGTGTGTGTGTGTGTGTGTGTGTGTGTGTGTGCGTGTGTGTGTGTGTGTGTTATTCCCTTGAACAGACGGAGCACTAAAGCAGCTTACGTTTATTAAAATTGCGGCCTGTTCTGCAATCCTTTTATGAGAATTTAGAAATGTCGGTAAGAACGGAGAGCTGCAGTGAGGTCTAGGGGAGCAGACATGGGAGGTGGGTGGACGGGGGGGACAGTAGCACAGTGTGCCCCGGTAAAGCTCCTGTCTAAAGGAAGACAGAGATAAATGTATGGAAGGTATGATGGGACAGTCAGATTGCATTTATCTTGTCTGCTGTTGTGCGTGTAAACCATTCCTCTGCTGCGACTTCTCCAGAGATCCTGTCTCGGTTTCTACCTGTATGGTGGATGTGCTGAGCTTTCTGCTTTAGTGCTTTTTTTTTCTTTCCTGTGTTGACGTATACATTAATTACCTGGAATGCCAGGAACACTTGTCTCGAGTTTCATTCCTGCGGTCCACTCTCCTCCAGATTGTGTGTCATTGTTAATGGCCTCAGTATCATTAGCAGACTGACATAAGTAAAGTGTTTGTGACCCAGAGATGAGCTGAAACAAGAAGGACAGAGAAAACGACTGGGATTGGGAGGTCAAGGCAGGGGCCGTCTTTGAAGTCTAGGAGTCATCCTGCATCTAAATAACACTGATGTGAGAAAACAAGCATCTGAGAAGCTTCTGAAATGATTGTTCTTTTGGTCTTCGGCGAGCTCTGAAGGTTTTTGTAACTTTTCATCACTTTGATTGTTTGGTTCAGAGTTGCTTGTAAAGAGAGGAATGTGACAAAGCTAACCTCGGGCAAACACCTAAGTAGCTTTGGCTCAAAGACACTCAACAGATTGAGATGTCAGATTAGATTGAAGCGTCTCTGAAACATGTAGTCATAACAAAAGTGCTGCCAGGCTGTTGCATCTGCAGACAGCTCTTCGTGAGCCAGACACGGCATAAGTCTGCTCTCACACCAGACCAGGCCGCATTCCATCCCGAGGCAGTGCATTAGTTTTATGGCCGGCAGGCGGCAGGGGATGGGATCGCTGGGCAGCCACTGCCCTCTCTGCTGTATTATTCATACGTGCAAAGTGGTCTTTGTTAATATTTAAAGTGTGCTTATGATGCTCAAATTCTTGACATCTGAGATGGCAAAAGAGAGAGAAATGGTTGGGGAACAGCTGCCGAGCTTATAGTAACCGATACGGGTGGCAGCAGTAAGTGGTGAAGGATTTTAGGACAGCAAAATGCTTTTATGCACTGAATGGGTTCGAGTAAGTACCAGATGCTGCTGGGAGCTGTTACAGGTGATTCCTGTGGGCCAAACAGTAGAAATGTTACTCGAGGTAATGCTGTCCATTCAATAAACAGGATCTGGAAAAGAAGTAGATCGATCTTGGTGGGCTGTGATTGGTGGCGACACATATCTAACGGAATTTGTTAAGGAAGGCAAAATTTTTACAGCTTCCTCATAGAGGCAGATCGCCTGACTGACTGGTGCGTGAATCTTAAACATTATCTGAGAGTTTACTAAACAGAGATCTCAAACCAGACTCAAATGATTATTCATTTAGATTTAGTGAGTCAGTAAGTGCAAGAAATAGAAGACACAGTTGGTAGAATAGGGTGACCAAGTAGCAAATAAAATGAGGGTAAATTTAGAACAAATGTATATTTTTTAAAACACTTTGTGACTACTATGCATGAATGAAGTTGATTTAAAGAGGACATGCTGCCTTTTTGTGCTGCTGTGTGACTCTATTGCCTCTACAAACACTTCAAATATTAATAAATTAAATATAAATCCGTCCATACGTTTTCAGTCAGTTTTTGATTTTAGGGATTACGTGCCTAAAAGTCCCCATTTGTGATGTCACAATAAGGACAATTGGCACAGAACCCTCCTTCACATGTCAACGCTCTTCTCAGAGCCTCACCCATAAATCTTAGTTTTTCACTTTATAGCCACCTGAGCAGGGCGTGGGTGGGCGTGACCAGCTCCAGCTTGTTTTTCCTAAAGTCACAGAGGCCTGAAACGGCTCATTCTGGAAGGTACTGAAACTGTCAAAGATAAAACTCCTGAGAATGTTTCATGTGAGAGGGCCATAGACCACAGAACTGTTATAACCTATTAAAAAGTCACAATACGTCTCCTTTAAAGGAAGACTAGGCCGTTTGGCTTGCTTTTAGCACCCCCTAGTGTCTGTTTGTAGAACTGAAAGCAAAACTTATCTCCTCTGTGCGTTTGTCTTTGTAACGTCTTAATCTAACAGCTGAAATGTCTCCTCAGCCTTCCTTAGTGTCTACAGGAGTGGTTCATCACTAAATAAATAAAAAATCAGCTGTGTTCATGATCTAAAACATGCAGGAAACGTGCTGGAAGCAGACTGCAGCACCAGGCAAGTCAGCTCCATTTTTTTCTAAGTCCACTAGGAAGTGGCCTGGCACTCTGAAGTTGGAAGTTTAATATTCTGCAGGGGGCAATAGGGACTGGGTGGCCTTTCATTAACCCTGTAAAGGGTCATTTTAGCACATACTGGCTCAAGAAAAGAATTTAAAACATGAAAAAGTTGAAAAGTGTGCCTTTAAACTTGTTTGCAACTATGTCATATGTTTATATGCAACACCTGAGCTAAAATTTGTAATTTTGTTTCTCCAACTTGTCAAAACAGCTGTGGTCCAAAGATCTAGGCTTTAGCAACACATTGAGAGAGATCAAGGCAGGGATTTAAAATGTTCTTCTTGAAAAAGACCATTGAAGAAAACTTTGTTGCAGTGGCATTCAAGCATCATTAAACCTCTGGCCCAGGAAAACTCAGAGGTAGTGCAGGAGGGGGAAAGGGATAAAAAAATAAAAAAGCATCCAATGTGAGAAGGAACCAGGTTTATGGCTGGCAACAACCAAAGAAACAGTAGTTAAGAAAGAAGGATAGGTCTAGGAGGGAGGTGGAGGGCTGAAAGTGAAAGGAGACACACAAATCCACCAAGGGGGATGTTTTTATTAAGGCTCTTATCGATGGAAAGAGCTTGCAGTATTAAGAGTAGACATGTTTAATGCTTTGCCAATACCGTGCATGTTAGACGGGACTATAAATCTGCAGCAAACAGCCAGGACTCGGTAGAAGAGCAAAACAGCAAGGTAAATGGAGGAGGGAGCTGACTATGAAGAATGGAAAGAAGAATTAACAGCAGAAGTAAAGCTCTGAGCGGAGACGGGCGTGCTCGTGATGTAGCTCTAAGCCTGGGTCATTATTCCTTCAGATGGGGTGGGCTCTCAAGGTGTTTGGAGTTTAGAGTGATTTAAACATTCAGCTTGAAAATGTCTTGATTGTCTCACACACCAGAAGGGATTTTCCCAACCTGTTCCCTGAAACCTTTAATGAAATTTGGAATTACTGGTGATGGGCGGATGGATGGCCATGGGGGTGGAGGATTGATAGTTTTAGTAGTTTTAGTAGCAGATGGGAGGTGAGTTTCTGCTCTGCCAGCAGGATGGGGTACCCCCTGCCCTTCCACCCTACCCTGTGGGGGCAGATGGGTGGAGCAGACAGGGAAACAGGAAGAAAACCTCTGTGGGGTTCCATTGTGCTTTTGATGAATAGGAGACTCCAAAGAGCCTTTTTTCTGCCCCTTTGTGAGGGGCAGAAAGGGACAGCAAGAGAACACACACACACACACACAGCCCCCCCCCCCCCCCCCCCCCCACCACCACCACACACACACACACACACACACACACTCATTAACAACTTCATTTGGAACCACGGTCCCAAGCTAAAGATGTTTGTTACTGTTGCTCTAAGAAAAGAAAATGTCTGCTTCTTTGAGCTCAGAAATGTTGGACTTCACACACACACACACACACACACACACACACACACACACACACACACACACACACACACACACACATACACACGCACACACATACACACACACATACGCACACACACACACACACACTCACACACACACACGCACACACACACACACACACACACACATACACACACACACACACACACACACACGCGCACACACACA